GTTTGACCCCACAACAAAGGGCTTCCTGAGGACCCCGAGAGGGTGGAAACCAGGAAGGGAGTGGTTGCAGGGAGACAGGCAGCAATCCTTTCCCATTTTTTTGGCTGGACTTCCACCACAGAAAGTGCTATCAGATGGAGAGCCTTTGTGTCCATCCATGTCCACTTTGCTCTGGGCCCACACGGGGCTGGAACCATGAAAGTCCCCAACTGTGTGCCAAAGAGGTGGCGCCCACACGAGCCTGGGAACTTACTCCATTCTCCCACGGGGTGAGGTGACAGTGAGGACGCCCCTGTGGATGGCAGCGCAAACCTTTGTGGCTAGGAGGAGGTGAATCCCTTCGGCTTCTGGATGAGACCCCACAGGAGCCCCCGGGCACACTGTGCTGCCTCCAGCCTGTCATGCCCTTAGCACACGGCAAAAAAAAAAATAAATAAATAAAATACACATCATCTGTGTGTTATGAACTTCTTCAATGATTGTGAATTATTTTATCATTATTTTAAATATATATATATATATATATATATATATATATATATATATATATATATATATATTTTATTGATTTTTTACAGAAAGGAAGGGAGAGGGATGGAGAGCTAGAAACACCGAGAGAGAAACATCGACCAGCTCAATGCAGGAGCTGCCCCCTGGTGGTCAGTGCACTCCCACAGGTGGAATGCTGCTCCGGGATTAGTAGTGCTCCCACAGTGCCCTATCCCAGCAGGCCACGCCCCCCACCAGGCCTCTAGAATAGTCATAATTGGCAGCATTTAACCTGAGATGCAGAAGGAAAAGGAAGGCATCTAGCACTGCTTTGTCAGTACTCCAGCTTTGATAAGCGTTTTCCTATATTGTAGGAGAAAAGGCACTTCTATTATTTTTAAAAATTTTTATTGTATTTCTAAAGAGTTCCTGCATCTTATCCCCTCTGTACCACTGTAGAATTACCATCCTATATAATAAAGAGGTATTATGCAAATTGACCATCACTCTAACACACAAGATGGCTCCCCCATGTAGTCAAAGATGGTTACCACAAGATGGCCAGGGGAGGGTAGTTGGGAGGGACCAGGCCTGCAGGGGAGGGCAGTTAGGTGTGACCAGGCTGGCAGAGGAGAGCCGTTGGGGGGAATGAGGCCTGCAACAGAGGGCAGTTGGGGGCAACCAGGCCTGCAGGGGGTGGTAGTTGGGAAGGACCAGGCCTGCAAGGGAGGGAAGTTGGGAGGAACAAGGCCTGCAGAGAAGAGCATTTGGGGGTGGGGGGAGTGGGGGACCAGGCCTACAGGGGAGAACAGTTGGGGGTGACCAGGCCTGCATGGGAGGGCAGTTGGGGATGACCAGGCCAGCAGGAGAAGGCAATTAGGGGTGACCAGGCCAGCAGGGGAGGGCAGTTAGGGGCAATCGGGCCAGCAGAAGAGCAGTTAGGTATTGATCAGGCTGGCTGTGGAGTGGTTAAGGGCAATCAGGCAGGCAGGCAGGCATGGAGTGGTTTGGAGCAAGCAATCCTGGATTGTGAGAGAGATGTCCAACTGCCTGGTTAGGCCCGATCCCACCAAGATCTGGCCTAAACGGGCAGTCGGACATCCTTTGAGGGGTCCCAGATTGGAGAGGGTGCAGGCTGGGATGAGGGACACACACACACACCCCTCATGCACAAATTTCTTGCATTGGGCCTCTAGTAATAAATAAATGTTGTGAGGACTAGACAATAGCAGTAGAAGATGAGATCACTGTGAGGCAGGCTATAGCCACATCTGAGAATTAGTGAAAGGAATGTAGAAATGTCCAAAGTGGCTCACTTCTCACAATAAAAAGCATGGTTGTGGCCTGCCTTCCCCCCCAAAAAAAAAAATTGTTGAAAACATTCTTGAATAGATCTTTTGATTTTTGATCAAGAGGGGATTCCTCTTCCCCACTGGGTGCTGCTGGAGGTTGAGTTCTTAAGATATCCAGAGAAAAATAGTTTTCTGAGACTGGCACAGAACAAGAGATTATTATTTGCATGGAATTAAATCCCTGTGTTTCTAAAGTCCCACTTTCCTTAGTCCAGTCAGAAGTGTACCTGGGGTTTCCATACAGCATCAGGCTAGCTGCAGTCCATCAGTCCACTGTGTGTGTGGGTTCATCAGTAGACCAAGCATAAGTCATGAGCCATAGGGGATTCTGTATCCCAAATTTTTGTGCCCTTGCAACAACTATTGACTTTTGTTCCCAAGGGTGACTGACAGATAAGTACTTTTCCTATGTCATCCTAACTTTATTGGGCATGTGTCCATTTTCGCTTTGAATGTTTTGCGGAGAACATACCTATATCTGGCCTTCTCTTTTTTGCTTTTCTAATATTAATAACTAGTTAATTACAATGTTATCACTTTGATCTTTTCAATAACTTAACACTTATTTATTAATTTTCAAGTATGGAAGAGGCCTTTTCCCTGAAGCCTATTCTTAAGATTTGTATAAACTTATTTCAAGGTAAGCCAATTTCTGACCACAGCTTAAAGATTATCTGCTTTTGCTGTCCTTCACCTCACTTCTGATTCTTCCTTTCTCTAAGTATGATTATTTTATATCACAATTATCTTGTTAACTGTTTATAATTCGTGTTTTTGTTCTTGTGTGTGGAGGAGATTTGATCGGGAAGCAGAACTCAATACTGTGTCTCATCCCTTTACCCACCATCCAGATGTGCAGCATTCTGAACATTCCTATAGTGATACCAGTGTGTCTGGGGGCTGGATCCAGTGCAGGGCTTCTGATTCCAGTGGCATTGAATGGGGAAAATGAAACGCTACTGAGCATGATCTCACTACCCTCAAGAAAGTAGGGCTATGCTTGTAGATTCTGCCCCTCTGACAGCTGTGGGGATCATATTCAATGAGAAATTGATCTTCATAGCAAAAGCATAGTTTTCTTTCAACAAAGCACCTTAAAGCCACACAAGAATTAGGGTTCAAATGAGAATACAAAAAACTGCCTTTTTCTTTACTGTTTTAAATGTCATGACTGCACTTTGTGACCTCATTGCTAGATAATTGTCATGGGAGAGAAGCTTGAGGAACCCAGAGCACATCACGGGTCCTGTCCTTCAGAGAGGACAGGACAGCAGGTCCAGACTGGTGTGCATATCCTTTCTGCCTCATTAAGTACATACTTCACCAGTTCCTAAAGCTGTGTCCTTTATTTTGGGAACCTAGAGAGCAGTTAATATAGTAAGAAAATGCTAATTGGGGCCCTGATGGATGGCAGCTCATAGAATCACCCCTATTTTTTTGAACACCTGCTGTGTATGTGGTAGGAGCCAAATATATAGTGACAAAGATTATCAAGTAAGTAGATGAGATCACGAGATAGTAAGAGAGACCATTGTAAACAGGTCATTTTAATTTTGCAGTTATATTAAAGTGTGGTAGCTGGGGAATCACAGCACAATGTTTAGCCCAAGGAAGAAACCTGATGCAATCGCAGGAAACCAGGAAATAGCAGTGGGTGAGGAGGAATAGAAACTGGCAAATAAAGGGAACAGGGTGAGCAGCCTGGTCTTTAAGAAGTCTGTGTCCTGTGTGCAAAGGTCCAGAGTCAATAGATTACACACAATGTGTGGAATTACAAGCTGTTTACTGTAGAGGGCCCCTTGGGAATGCACATGGATGACCTTTAAATTAATGTCAGCTGAGTCCGAGGTGACTGGCATGGCTGTCCCTGGGAAACAGCCTCCCAAAATGTGGGAGACTATCAGTACCGATTTCTTATCTTTATCCTTGTGCTTGGAATGAGGAACAAATAGAACCTTGACTTACCCAGGTCTTGATATGATAAATCCCAGGAAAGGGGGAATAAATAGGGCCTGGGCACACGAAAAACTTCTTTGACCTTAACCCCGCCTCTGGAAATCAATAAATGCACTGTATTGTCTGTGGTGGGTGTTGACCATTCCTCCATCAGAGTGACAGCATCCACCCGGCAACCAACTAGATGAATCTATTTCTGCCACCTTATCTTTTTCTTTCTTTTATTTCTTAATCCCCAGTTCCTCCATTCAGGAACCAGTCCTTCTCCCGGGCGGGATGAGGAAAAAGGAGAAGCACGCCATTGCAGTTCACTCTAACAACAAAGGTCTTAAGCCCTACACCACTGCACAGAATTCTTAAAGTGATGAGCTGACCCTGAAAAAAATTTTTTTTTCTTCTAATTCACCATCTTTATAAATGTGGGGCAGGAACTTGGAGATGATTCCAATCGACATCCTAGTAGATATTATATCTGAACATAAATTTGGGAGAAATTCCAGGACCTATTGGGAGGCCCAACAGACAACAAAATTAAGATGCACATCTTGTAACTTCTGTTTCTTGCTGTAATAAGTACACTCTTTCTGTTGAGTATTTAACATTTTAATGTGTATTTGCCTCTATGTGTATTGTCCCTAGCAAACAGGAGAGACTGCCAGTTCCTAAAACCTTCGCCAACCTAATGTCCTATAAATATATCCTTCTGACAGAGGACACAAGTGCCTTCTACTTTTACTTTGCATATCTTTACAATCAGGAAAGTTAAATGTTTTATCTCTTATACTTTTGCCCATTTAAAAAATGTATTTGTTGCTCTTTGCTCCCACATTCATAAGGACCATTATAGCTGAAGAAATAAAAAATAATAATAATACAGATCGCCAATATTTTTCTCATCATACCATTTGTCTTTCTGCCTTTCTTAAACATTTAGTATGAATAAATCATCTTATACCTTGTTTTTCATTTCTTTAAATTAATTCAATCAAAATGGAGCTTGTTTTTCTTTTTTGTTTGGCACATCAAATTCTGTTTGTTTTTTGCAATCACTTTATTTTTAAACTTTTCTTGGGCAAAACTACCATGGTACACATACAAATAAAATGAACTACAAAGATATGCTATTATAATATAAGGAGCTCTTTATAATGTCTTTCCTAAACATTTTCAGCCTTTCTAAAAAAGAAAACTGGCCTGTTTTCTTCATTGGGTCAGGGAGTGTTCCAGTAGTACGCTGGCTGCCATATAAAAGAGCTCTATAAAGATTGAAGGCCAGATGTTTTCAGTTTCTTGGATCTCTTCTTTTAGTTGATTTATCTCTTTCTTCATCTTCTCAGATTCATTTTCAAATCCCTCAATAAGTAGTTCTTCTAGAATCTATAGAAGAGGAGAGAATTCCTTTTGAAAATCCGAATTAGCAGCACTTTGTATTTAACAACTGCAACAGCTAGCACATGTTCTATTTTTCCACTAACTTAGATGCTCTTTGATACATTTGTCCAAAATTTCCCAAATATTTGGACCTCATAGTGGGAGTATCCATGCTTTATGTCTTTTAAAAATCCCTCAGTGTGATTTCACTGGGAGTGAGGAGAAGCTGGGTTGGGTCAGCCTGACAACTATGCTTGGAAACTGTTCCAGCCCTGAGGATGCTCTTTGAAAAATTTGGAGGTTCAATTCAAATTATTTCTCAATTCCATTGAAGTAGAATGACTACACACATGTAACTATAATAGGAATTTCTGACTTTCTATGGAACACTGGTTAAAAGACTCCAGATTGGAACACAGCATGCATTGTACTCTGGGTGCACAGAATAAATCAGGCAGATCTGGTAACAAATGCAGCAAACATTAGAGCTTTTTGCATCCTATATAGCATATCAGGCACAATCTGACACTTTCCATCAGATGGAGCTACTTGAAGTCTCTTTGATGGTTGTAGCAAATATCCTAAGGACTACATCCTATTCACTAGGGGGCACGATGAACCAGTTCAGGAGTCTGTGGCATGTCATTTGCACAGACTCTAGTGCCACAGAAGGTGCCAAGTCACAGACTTAGGGCTTTAGAATGACCCGATTAATTTGGCATTTCACTAACTCACATGCCTTTGGGTTTCCTTCAGGGTTTATGACTTCAGTTAAGTGTTTTGTCCTCCCCTTCACGAGGACCCAGGTGATTGATTGTACTCTATCCACAGCCCAGATCCCACCCGGACTTACCTTCTGCTTGTGCTCCAGTATTCTTTCCTGCTCCCTCAGGCGGCTTTCACTTTGTCTCCTAATCTTCTCCTTCAGTTGGACAAGGTGTTCCTGGAAGCTTTTGTCTTGAGCATCCAATTTTTCCTGCTGTTCCTTCTGTTTCTGTCTTAGCAGCTCCTGTTCCTTCTCAGCTTCCTGATTCTTGGCACGCTCAGCTGTTCCCCAAGGGTTTTATAGAGGAAAGAAAATAATTTATGCTCAGCTGTACCCTCCTAAGCACAGAGACTAAAGGGACTTTAAAATGGTAAGGAAAATGTGATGGAAAGGCATTAATTGGCCAATTAAGCCACCAGAATTCCCCTGGTTAGTTTCAGTTTAGTTGACTTGTTTAACAGGACCGGAAGCGTCTTGTTTCAGGAGGGTTTTGCTCTCACACCTGTTGCAGGGCACTACAGGAACCTCCCCTCCCATCTGTGATCAGAGCCCTGTCCTGTACCTTCTAGAGCCTTCTCCTCAGCTGTGAGGGCTTTATCTGCCTGTAGGATGGATTCCTTTGTTGCAGCCTGTGACTGTACAAAGCTCTGGAGAACCTCATGTGCCTGGAAAAAAAAAAAAAAAGAAAGAAAAGGAGGAATTGACTATGAATTCTTCATAATTCTTAGGATCCCACAGTGGTTCCCTTCCACAGTCACAATAAAAATTCTAGCCCTAGCCCCTGTGGCTCAGTTGTTTGGAGCTTTGACCCTTATGCCAAACTGTTGTGGGATAGATTTCCACTCAGGACACATATCCAGGTTGTAGGTTCTATCCCCAGCCCATGCATGTGTGGGAGGCAATGACTGTACTTTCCTTTTCTTCTGACTGGTTGCTCATCTACCCTTTACTCAGATAGCATGTATTGATACGTCAACTTGTAGCTTCTCCCTTCTCTTCCAGGCAGCTTTGCTAAACTTTCTTCTGAGATTTGAATGGCTGTCAGGTACACACATCTTTCCTACCAGCTCTACCACTTGCTGCCTGTCTGTTCTTAAGAAACTTATTAGCTTCTCAGTGCATCTCATTCCTCAAGTGTATAATGGGGATGATATTATTCTAATAAATTGATAATACAAACACAGCACTTAAGATGAAACGTGTAATAGAAAGTGAGTGCTCAATATATGTTAGGCATCACCATCATTATTATCATCAGCAGCAGCATCACTGTCAGTGTATACTTGTATGCTACCATATCTGATTATATCCAATTGACTATTTATATGTCCCTTTTCAGTAAGGTCATAAGCTACTTGAGAATGTTGTTTCTTTAATTATATATCTCCTATACTTAGCACAAAACTATTGCACTGTTTGTTAAATAAAACTAATGTTTTATTTCATCTAGATTTTGGATAATAGTAAAGCCCACATTTAAGAAGAAACATTTCTGGTTTATGTAAAAGTGTCTAACTTATTATGGATATAAAACACAAAAAATTTAGGTCTTCCTATGCTTTGCGTTTCTGCATATATGCTGTGGTGTAGTCTTAGATTTTCAAAAAAGCATCCACAAAGACCCTCTAACCCCAGTATCCTACATTCTCCCCTCTTTATATCTCACCTTCACTCCTTTCCTGGGCACCATGTTATATGACTGTTCCAGCTTGTCCATTGCTTCTAAGTAGAGCTTGTATCCATCAGGAACAGAGAAAGTTCCTCTTGAAATACTTTCCATCAAGGGTTCTGAAAGTTGCTTAAGCTGAGCCTGGCAATATTTGCCAGAAGCTTCTTCATTCTGCAGCAAGAAATACTCCTTCTTCATGGTTATGGTTTCCTATCATGGAAATATGGAGAAACCCAAAGGAAAGAAGTTGTTAGAAGGGAAGGTCCAACTGTGATCCTCTTGTAAGAAGCTGTCTTACTTGCTGTCAAGATGGTGAAGTAGGTAACTGCTGTGCTCATCTCCTCTGGAACCACATTGAATTTACAACTAAATTATAGAACAACCACCAAGAACCATCAGAAAAGAAGTTCTGTTATGGAAAATATAAAGAAAATGCCACGATAAGACTGGTAGGAGGCACAGGTCTCACACTTATGTGTGGCAATTAAGAATTGGGAGGGATAGCTCAGCAGCTGAGCGCCCTTCTGTGGAATGATGGGTCCCAGTCCACACTCCCTTGACTACTTCAAGGAACCAGTACCAGGAAGAGGAATTCCCACAATGTCTGTCTGTGAAAACCTGTAGGATGGGCGAGGAGGTGAATGAAGGAGGAGAGCTTTGGGAGTCTCAGGCATTCTCTTTGAAGGGCTTAGGGAAGGACTCACTTGCTCACAAACTCACTTGCCCAAGTCTTTCCAGGGCAGCATATAGGGAAGAATGTAGTGGACTAGTGTCAGGGCCAAGGTGCAGGGGCCGAGGTCAGGGTGGCTCTCTCTGGGGAGAAATGGGGGCAGGTGTCCATTGCTCCTTTGATAAGCACTCTCCCAACCAGCTGGAAAACACAAATGGGCACCAAATTTGAGCTCTCCAATAACATGGCTAACATAATTTATACTAGAGTCCGGTGCACAAATTTATACACGGGTGCGGTTCCTCTGCAAGGCCTATCAGGGGCTGACCCAGGAGTTTGACTGGCTCAGGGAAAGGGCAGGAGGAAGTTAGCCGGCTGGCCCCACCACTGATCAGGGTGGAGGGATCCAATCAAGGGTGGGGCTGGCTGGCCCAGCCCCAATCAGGATGGGTGGGTCTAGATCAGGGGCAGGGCCGGTTGGGAAGAGAGTCTGCGGGTAGTCGGGGTGCGATCAGGTCCTAGATCAGGCCAGTTGGCCACCACAGTGTAACTCATAGAAACCAGTCATTCCAGTAGTTCTGATCATTGCACCATTTGGTCACTGGGCTTTTATTTATATAGACTAATGGCATGGTGCATGAAATTCAGGCACATTAAAAGGGGATTAATTAGAGGAGATAATTTAATGTTGCTGTTTGCCCTTTCTCTATAATAGAAGTGTCAGAGATGAAAGGAAATTAGTAAAATGTATACAAAAACCTTCCTATCAGAGTCTGGGGCTCACCATGGCACCCAGAGTCAAGTCCTCGCCCACCCACATGCACATCAAAATTGCATGAGACCCAGACCGGGCTGGCTCCCCACATTCGACTAGATCCAGACCCAGCCAGTCCCACCCTTGTCAAGGGGGCGTAGCCTCAGGTCCCCTAGCTTGGTGCCAGGATAAGGGGCGTGGCCTGAGGTTCCTCAGCCCATACAGGGGCTGAGGGTATGCCTTGAAGTCCTCCATCAAGCCCCGCTGCGTGGGAAGCATGGCCTGAGGTCCCCTGTCAGTCCAGCTAGGCAGCAGGGTACAGCCTCAGGACCCCATCAAACCCTGTTTGGTGGGGGATGTGGCCTGAGGTTCCCTAGCCCAGCACCAGGGCAGGAAGTGCACCTTGAGGTCCCCTGTCAAGCCCCACGGGGGCAGGGGAGGGCGTAGCCTCAGGTCCCTGCTGATTGCTCATTAAGGCTCCGTATGGGAACTTGGCCTCAGCTGTGAGTGCAGCCATCTTTGTGATGGAGTGATGGTCTATTAGCATATTCCCTCTTTATTACATAGGATTACACTGGAAATTCCTTGAGATACTATTCCAACCAGTTTTTACCTGGTCCAATTGCTTCCAATAGTTTTTCCACACAAGCAGCCTGACTTAGCTCACAAAGATTTTGAAATCTTTGAAAAGCCTAGAAACCTCTACAAAGCAGTGGTTGGCCTTGGCGTGCACAATACCTCTTGCTAAGCAACTCCAAGTCTGGTACAAGCAGTGACCTGAATAAGCAAAGCAATCTTGAGAAAGAAGAACAAAATTGGAAGTATCATGCTACTGATATGAAACTATACAATAAATTATAGTAACCCGAACAGCATGGTACACACATAAAAACAGACACATAAGGTCAATGGAAGAGAATGGAAATACCAGATATAAACCTCCCCCTATATGGTCAATTAATGTCTGACAAAGGAAGCAAGAATATGCAATGGGGTAAAGACAGTCTCTTCAGTAAATAGTGTTGGGTAAACTGAACAGATTCATACAAAAAATAAACACAAAATGTGTTACAGACTGAAATCTAAGATATAAAATCTAAAAGAAATCATAGGCAGTAAAATCTTTGATGTCACTCTTAGTAAATGTGTGTGTCTTTAAGCAAGGGAAACAAACAAACAAACAAACAAAAGAAATGTGTCTACATCAAACTAAATTGTTTGAAACAATCTACAAAAACAAAAACAATAAGAAACACCCCAGTGAACAGAAGGTATTTGCCAATAACACCTTGGGGCGATAACTCTGTCAGTTATATAAATTTCTGATCACTATATTGTATACCTGAAACTAATATAATATTGTATGTCAACTGTAATAGGAAAAAGTAAAAGGAAAACAAACAGTGTAATGGCATCAGGGCGTACTGGGAATTGGAATGACCAGGCATCATGGAAAGTCCCTTATTCACTTTGGCTCAGGCTCAACCCCTGTGAAATTATGAGGTCTGTAGACATGGTGCCTCCCCCTCTCCCCTGCTCCCAATTGATATATTATTGACACATGACATTATAATAGTTTCAGGTATACTACTTAGTGAACCATTATTTGTATACATTGTGAAATGATCACCACAATAAGTCATTAACATCCCTCACTTTATCTATCTATATATAAAAGACTGATATGCTAACTGTCCATCTGGGTAATGACATTACTTGGCAATGCCCAGCTTCCTCTCTCTAGCAACGACTAGCTTCCTTGGAGTTTCTTCAGCCCAGGCTTTATGACCAGGTGGAAACATTTCTTACTTTAACCAAATGTCTGTGAAGTGTTTTCCCATGCTTTATTTCATTTTATCCTTCCAGAAGTCCTGGAGTTGGTAGATAGGAGACTCAGTGAAATCCTATTTTCTTTTCATTAGCCAGAAAACAGAGATTTAGAAAGCTTAGAAACTTGAGCCATATGAAAAGAAGTAAGAAATGGTGGACCTTGAAAATGACTTCAGGTTTTCTCACTGCACAGAATATAGTCAAACACTGCTGCAGTTAAATATTTCATTTACCCTTTACAAAATCTACAATAATCTGTTTCATGTTGAAAATTTAGTTACATCAGAAAGCAGGTCTAATTAAACAAGTTTATTCTATATATATAAAGGGCTAAGTTGACTTGCACATGCATGGTACATATAAAGCACTCGCTGGTGCCAATTAATTGCATGCATGTGTTTCGCTCTATCATTGTCAATCATAATTTGGTTGACACATTTATTATAGAGACAGAGTGAATAGTGATATATTTCTTCTAATTAATTTTCTTTCAATGTGCACAAATTCATGCACTGAGCCACTAGTATAGTTATAAACATTTATTTTTGTTTGGATGAGAATTTGTAGGATTTACTCCCTAGCATTGTTCAATTATGCAGCCTAGTTTTATGCATGGTTTCTTTATCAGTAGTAGGGTTGACCAAAAATGAGCAATGGAGACTTCAATATGACTTTCTTCTACAAACTTGGGTTGCTATGGATAAAATATATGCATAGCAAATCAATTGCCCACTAAGAGTTCAGTGGTCTGTGAACAGCAGTATTTTAAACTGCTCATAATTTTTTTCAATGGGGGTCTGATTGTGCAAAAATATAGAAACAAAATGTATTTGCTGTACTTTGACATTTTAATGAAGTTGGTTTTATTCTATATGAACTGAGAGATTTTTGTAACCTGTAAAATAATCAAAGGCTCACTCAAACTTTTAGTGAAGGTGATGATAGTGGGTAGAATGTTGATGCTTTTCAAGAGATCTCTCCCCTGGTGTCAACTCCCCTACATAGTACTTGGATCCATGGGTGTGATGAATATTAATCATATGACTAGATTATGTTATACAACCCAGCTTGAATTTAAGATAGAAATTTTCAGGTGGGCATTACCTAACTACCTGAGCCCCTTAAAAGATTTTTCCAGTTAATGTAAGAGTAGGTAGTCACAGAAATTAGAAACAATTCAAAAAGATATGATGACTCATTGCTGGCTTGAAGATGGAAAGGAGTGTCCCAGAACCTTCATTTAATCATATAAGCCCATTTTAACCTTGTTTTCAGTATGTGGTACACTGAGCAGGGCACCCATATATTGTTTTAGAATCTGACCTGAAGAACTGTGTGTTTTTGAACTCTGCTAAGCACACAATCTTTTGTTTTGCAAAAGATAGAAGATAAAAAATAATCTTTTAGAAAAGCATATACAGAGTTCTGTAGAGGCCAGTCACTCAGAAAAATCCAGGTTCATTCTACAGTTAGAAACATGTGAACTTGGGAGTCACAAAAAGGGAGTCTAGGAGTCATTATAAAAGGGCAGTTTTTAGAAAGGATGTAAGCTAAGATATCCTATCTAATAAAAGAGTAATATGTAAATTGACTATCATTCCAACACACAAGATTGCTGCCCCATGTGGTCAAAAATGGCTGCCCCATGTGGATTCAAGATGACCACCACAAGATGGCCAGCAGGGGAGGGCCATTAGGAGGGACCAGGCCTGCAAGGGAGGGCAGTTGTGGGCAATCAGGCCAGCAGGGGAGGGAAATTAGGGGTGACCAGGTGGTAAAGGAGGGAAGTTGGGGTGACTGGGCCTGAAGGGAAAGGCAGTTTGGAGGGACCCAGGCCTGCAGAGTAGAGCAGTTGGGGGGGGGGGGGAGCAGGCCTGCAGGGGAGGGTAGTTAGAGGTGACCAGGCCTGCAGGGGAGGGCAGTTATGGGCAAACAGGCTGGCAGGAGAGCATTTCGGCATCAATCAGGCTGGTAGGGGAGTGGTTAGTGGTTGATCAGACTGGCAGGCAGAAGCAGGCGGTTAGGGGCAATCAGGAAGGCAGGCAGGCAAGCAGTTGGGAGCCAGCAATCCTGGATTGTGAGAGGGATGTCCAACTGCCCAACAGTCAGACATCCCTTGAGGGGTCCCAGATTGGAGAGGGTACAGGCTGGGCTGAGGGACACACTCCCCTGTGCACGAATTTTCTGCACCAGGTCTCTAGTCTTACCATAAGCTTCTTCTGGAACACCTGGTTGTCATCATTGAAGGAGCGTTCCATGAAGATTGCAATGGCTTCCCTCTCACAGGCTGCATGCAGGTCCAGCAGCTCCTGCAGGGTGTCTGTGGGGAAGCTCACTCTCTGGGCCATCTGCTCGCTGTAGTGGTCGGCTGCCTTCTGCACAGCCACTGAGTTCTCTTGCTCAGCCAGAGTTGTCACTGTGTTCTCCAAACAAGGCACTGCTCCACTGTTGATGGCATCCACATAGGCCTTTGCCAGAGTGCCCAGCCCTAAATGACACAATATATTTAGGATTAAAAGGATTTTCTCATTCACTGTTTTACAAGTGTTCAAGATCAGCATTCTAAAAATTACAACAATTTTACTGAAATGAAGTGTTCTGTTTCTTTTTCTTCTCCCCATATTCCTCCTTGTCTTCATTCTTGTACCCTCCTCCTTTTACTTTTATGTGTCTACTTTCTCATAATGAAATTACTATCTATTCTATTCACTTTTTTATTTATGAATTCATCACATTCTAGTATGAAATAATAATCTCATCCAACATATTCAATAATTTCCTAGACTAATTTCCCTTTGAAATTATAAAATGAGTATATCTTATAGGTAAGTAAAGTAGGTAATTTGTGGGCACTATCCTAAACTGAATATCGGGCCATTTTAAAAAAATCAAGAATTTCAGGACGGTGATAATTTAATGATTACACCAAACCTGGGCCCAATTCACCAGAGGGCACTGTGTGTCTGCCCTGCACATAAGGCTATAGTTAACATTTCTTCTCAAACGCTAATAAGATTTCAAAGGCTTATGTTCTGCTATATATTTTTTCTAATTGGTATAAATTTTCAAAATATCTTGTGTATCCTCAACAAGACACAACCATCTCATTGCTCTTATCATCATGATGCAGATTCCCTTCCTTAACAGCAGCTTGTGATTATGTCATTAGCATATTAATTTCATGAGACACAGTAGGCTTCAATAATCCCTCATATAGGGGAACTTTAATGAAAAACTTGCATGTCTATGTGTAGCATGAATGTCTGGGTTTCCACATCACATAGGGAAGGAAACAAAATTACCAACAAATTCCAAGTGCAACCACATACACTAAACTGCAGAGAAACTTTCTGTAACAATGAAGACCCACCAATTCCAGTGACAATGATTTCTTCTCTTAGAGTCTTGGTTCTTGCATGTGTAAGGATATATTGACAGAAATTTTTGGATTGCTCCTGAAAATTCCATTCTAGTTGGTTTTCTGACATCTCCTCCACATAGTGTAATACTTTTTTGTCATTTGTAGGGTGCTCAAAGACAAAGCACTTCCGCCTTGGAAAGAATTTCCTGATACACTCTCTAGGCATGTTGGATTTCTGGATTTGGGGATCCTCGTCTATAAAAAAGAAAAACAGTAATCACTGATGAAGCAGTCTTTAGGCAAGGAAGTTGAAAACATTCATTTCCAGGGATTTTTGCATCACTGTAACACTGGTTCTGTAAGTCTCCTTTTATTTAATCATTTAATCTCCTTTTATTAATGCTAATAATCTACCAAAGAATAGAAATTGTACTATTTATTTATTTATTTATTTATTTATTTATTTATCATTTCCAGAGCCAGGAGCATAGAAAGGACTTCTGGAGAAGACAGGAGACGGGCATCTATCCCAAGTGAAGACATTTGTGATTATTTTCCTTAGCCCTTCCATGATGTCCAATGGTTTAACTGTTTATTATTATTCTTATTTTTTTTAAAAAATATATTTTATTGATATTTTACAGAGAGGAAGAGAGAGGAATAGAGAGTTAGAAACATCGATGAGAAAGAATCATCGATCAGCTGCCTCTTGCACACCCCCTACTGGGGATGTGCCCACAACCAAGGTACATGCCCTTGACAGGAATCAAACCTGGGACCTTTCAGTCTGCAGGCCTACGCTCTATCCACTGACCCAAACCGGTTTCAGTTGTTTATTATTTTTGAATGATAGATTAATTTCAAAAATGGTCAGAAATACTTTTGATACTATAGACCTCATGTCATAAATAAAATGTGAGCTATAAAGTAAAAGTGATTTTTTTTTCAGGTAGAAATAAGGATATTTATGATACTCCTGGGAAAAGTTTCACGTGAAAGACAAACAATACTCAGAACAGTAAAGAAAAACTCCTAAAAATCAGAGTTAAAAAATACAAGCAATATAAATACATTCATAGATTTTTTTTTTTTTTTTTTTTTTTAGCAGACATCATCAGAAAGTAATGTTAACTTAATGCTATTTGGAGACCTCACCTGTTTTCTATACCAGATATCAGGTTATATTGAATGTGACAATGTCACACAGTGCGATTCTAGGCATCTATCAACTGCTCAATAAATGATGCTTGAATGAATAAATAAATTATTAAATAAGCAAAAATGAATATGTTCTTAGGTACTACCTATTATTTTCTTTGCTAAATGTACTCAGTGTTGAGTTTAATATTTCAAAATATTGTAAAAGGCTATAGAATGAAGAGAGCGATGTTATCAAAAACAAATAATAAAGGATTTGACAGTATTGTAGGAAGGATATGTCAATGATTCTTTTTTGAGGGAAACATTCATATAAATATCTTTATATGAAGAATGTAACCATGCAAGCTATTAAAATAGACAACACGAAATGTATTTCAAAAATAAAGTCACTTGATATGTTTGTGGTTCTGTGTTTATCATCTTCCATACTAATGAGCTCTTTTTGATAAATAGAAATACTAGTAGATGAGCTCTGAATTTAATAAGTAACACAAATATTTGAGCCTTAAAAAGTTGTAGCACTGGCTTTAATCCTCTAAGTTATTTTTCATGGTGTCAGTTTTTCTAAAAATAATTTTGTCCAACAATGGATTCTACATTTTCTCAGCCAACTTAAATTCTGGTCACCTGAGTTTTTTTCAATAATAATAACATTATTATTATTTTTTTTTTCAATAATAATAATAATAATAACTGTCTTACACATATTATTATTATTTTTTCAATAATAATAATAATATGTGTAAGACAGGTGGGTATGATTTTAGTAACTAAAATCATACCCACCTGTCTTACACATATCACCATTAGCACAGGCCTCAATTCAATAAAAAATAAAGATTGACCTTAAGTGCTGAGAAACAGGCCTCAGTTAACCACACCTCCCACTGAAACCTCCGCCACTCAGACTATCCTTTTGTACCTGGAACCAACTTCAAGGCCTTCTCCAGGTACTCATCTTCAGTGACGGCGTGTCCATCTAACTTCAAGTCCAGCGTGAAATCCCGAACCACCCAAACAAAGTCTGGAAAGAAACTTGCAAACTCGGCTGAGTCCTCTATTTCACTGGAGCTGGGAGAGGATTTCGCCCGGATGAGCTTTGTTAGTTCAGTCACATAGCTGGGATCTTAGTTAAGGAATGAGAAATGCTCCCCGCCAAAATTTCCAGATCTCACCCAGAAACAATTTTTATTAACATTCCTATCCACCCTGTGTTCTTTTGAACTTCAACCGTGATCATTGACATGAGAAAACAACAACGTCAAAAATAGTCTCAATTACATTCCCACAGCCTCCCTGACACATGGAAGGATACTGCAGCTGCTCCAGGGCCTGGTGGTTGATGCTTCCCATGCTGTTGTAGACAAACATGCTGCTCAGGAGCACGGCCAGGGCAAAGATCCACAAGTCATTCTTAGGGTCATCCTAGAAAGTGCATTAAGCAGGGGACTTAGGTGTCTATTGTTTTTGTTTGTTTGATTTGATTTTTAAAAATTAAAGTGAAAACTAAAAATTAAAAAAGTACTTTTTTTTTTTTTTTTTTTTTTTTTTTTGCTAATGCTCACTTGAGTATATTTCTCCCTTGATTTTTTAGAAAGAGTGGAATGAATGAAATGGAGGGAGGGAAGAAGAGAGGAAGAGAGAGAGAGAGAGAGAGAGAGACATAGATGTGAGAGAGACACATCTATTGGTTGCCACCTGCTTCCACCTTGATCAGGGCTGGGATTGAACTTGCAACCCCGGTACGTGCCCTTGACAGGAAATTAAAACCTCAACCCTTCAGTGTGCAGGCCAATGCTCTAACCACTGAGTTACATCAGCCAGGGCAGAAACACTACCATTTTTTTTTTTTTATCATACTTTACTTTAAAGATGTAAAAATAAAATGAAAATATACTTACTACTATAAACTTAATGATAGAAACATTATCAAAGCCAAACTGTAAACGATGTCTGTATTCTAAAATGTGAACACTGTAATGAAAAGTTTAACTGTATAAATGCACTGATCTTTTTCTCATCAGGCACATTTTCCCTATTTATCTCTCATTTTACAATATAATCCATCACTAACATACAAATTATATGTAAACTGGCTAAATCTAGACTTTCTTAGGTCTTAGTTTTTTTGTGTGTGTGTGTTTGTTTTTGTTTTTCCACAAAACAAGCTTGATAGCTATAAGATGAGGTAATATTGCATTGTATGTTATGGCAATGTAATATTAGCAAGTCAAATTACAGGATTATGTTTTTCATCACATAAACAACGAAAATAAAACCTGAAGGGAACCCAGTTTAACAAGTGATCTAAAACAAGTAGAATAATGGTGGGAAATGAAACCTTAAGCTACAGAAGCTGACTTGTGTTTCAGTCGGAAACCACAAAGCCTTCTCGGGCCTGTGATGTACGAATTGCACCCTCTCTGAAACAGTCTTAGTGTCCTAAACACTAGGAACTAGTAAAAACTTTAAGTTTGAGGAACTCCAATGTGGAAAAGCTACGATAAGAGTTTCACCTCAAGTGCCTAAGCAGGTACTTAAAAAATAAATCCATGAAAAATCTGAGAACATGGAACATCTTTAAGAAAGGGACTTTTAAATGAACTGCTGACTCTGGAGGGCCTCTACCTTTCACTTCTAATTAAGCATTGGAAGAAAAACAGAGACTGGCTAATTTTTTTTTTTAATCCAAATAAAATGCTAACTTAATGGAACCCTTAGTTATTCAAAGTCATAAGTGGACCACACAATATTAGTTACATAGTAAGCCAAGGATAACAATCCAGATCTGTTGTTAAAAGTACAAGTTCATGTACAGAATTATCATAATGCCATCATCATGTATAATAAAAGGGCTAATATGCAAATCAACCAAACAGTGGAATGATGAGTTGCTATGACCCACAGTGACCACCACAGGAAAGATGCTCAATGTAGGAGCTGCCCCCTGATGGTCAGTGCACTCCAACAGGGGGGGGGGTGCTATTCAGCCAGAAGTCGGGCTCATGGCTACTGAGCACAGCAGTGATGGCAGAGGAGACTCTTCCACCTCCATGACAGCACTAAGGATGCCTGACTGCCATCTTAGGCTTGATTCTGGGCCTATGCTGTCAGCTGGACATCCCCCAAGGGCTCCCAGACTGCAAGAGGGAGCAGGACAGGCTGAGGACACCCTACTACCCCCAGAGTGCATGAATTTTATGCACTAGGCCTCTAGTTTTAAATACTATCTACTTTTTTAAAAGCCACAAATCATCATTTAGGTAAAAACAAATTTCATGTTTCTTCAAAGGGATGTCAATACTAAATGTGATTAAAACATTTTAGTAAAACCTTTTGTCATTTTTTCCTTGACATACTGAATATTTTCCAGTACCATTTTGTAGTTTCATTGGGTTATTTTGGGAAAATAAGATGGCAAATACTGCTGTTACATAATACAAAAGAGGGCTCTCATTTATCAGTAAACCTGGGACATAGAAGGCTGTACGAAATATGTCAGTGAAGAGCTCATTTAAAAACTATTCAGAGTTTAGTACGTAGAGAATTGGAATGCACAATTGAAGACTTATTTATTTACTTAATATATATTTTTTATTGATTTTTTTACAGAGAGGAAGAGAGGGATAGAGAGCCAGAAACACCAATGAGAGAGAATTATCAATCAGCTGCCTCTAGCACACCCCCTACTGGGGATGTGCCCACAACCAAGGTACATGCCCTTGACCGGAATCAAACCCAGGACCCTTCAGTTCGCAGGCCGAGGCTCTATCCACTGAGCCAAACCAGTTTCGGCAAGACTGTTAGTTATTGAAGAAGTGTGATAAAAACCTCATTTATCAAAAGGCCTTGGTGTTAAAGAGTGCCTTTGCACCCCCTTCTAACGCTGTAGGCATACATCAGATTTAGATTTCCCTAGGTCTACTACTTTCTTAAAAAACAAAAAACAAAAAACAAACAAACAACAACAACAAATCAGAATAAGGCTATTGAGCTAAAACTACAACTGACTAGTTCAAAAACTGTTTTTAAAAGTTAGTTTTTTTTTTCTTTATTATAAATTGTACATTCAAAACCATCTCTTACAGTCCAAGGTTAGTAACCCAGCCAGCTTAAATCAAAGGTTTTTCTCACGTAGGTCCCAGTATCTGGATGACTGACTCATGTACTTACTATATTGGGAAGTAGAGATCAAGAAAGTATTTATTGGTCAAAGCTTAAGTTATACATGATGTACCCTTGAATCAGATCCCTCTTCAATTCAAGCATTCTTTTACTGACAGCACTTTGTAAATCACACCAAGAAAATCACCCCAGATGGCAAATCTAACACATTTGAAATGTGGTCATTGTAGCTTTTCACTTGGATGGCAGAAGCAATTGTGGAAGATGGACTGGATCAAGCCTTCCCCAATATTGTAGGACTGAGCGAATCAGTGAGCTCATCAATAAAATTATAGTAAATTAGAAATATGTTTATGTAAATCAGAGGGGCAGGGCTGTTAGCTCTTGAGGAAAGGAAACTATCCACAGAACTAGAGGCTCTTTAAATCCAGATTTACTAAATTCATTCTCCTACCCCATCTTTTTTTTTTTTTTTCCTTCTCAATAATGGAAGCCAAACATTCATTAGTGGTACTTTCAACTTAGACTCATGCTAACATAAATGAGGAGAAAAGATTGAATTGCAAGTAACACTACAAATACAAAATACTTATATTATCCCATAATAGTGCTCTTGGTGGGTCTAATTCATGTTGTTAGAGAAGTCAGTGCAAATTTCATCTTTAGAGAATACATATTTCTGGTAGTTGAAGCTTTTCTGGAGATTTTAAGTAGATTATTTCACTGTAACCCATGTTCATGGGTCCTACCTCCAATCCCATTAATCTCTTACAATTTAGGACCCATGAATTACAGGTTCCTCTGGGAATGACTGGGTTAGGATCCCAATTTTTATATCCGTCATTCTCTGTTCTGATAACACTGCATATTGCTTAATTCTCCACCAGGCTCTTGGTCTTTGCTTCATTCACTGCCATATCTGTAGTAAGTAACACAAAGCCCTGAATGCAGCTGTCCAATTAGTATTTAACTTGCACTTTTTGCCCCAGTGTAAAAACAAAAGAAATCTATTCTTAAAGTATTGAGCTTACCAAGAAAGTAAATTAAACAAAATAGAAGTTTGCCTCCTTAATCCTAATTGAATTTGTAGTTTAGAGAAATACACTGTGAAAGTCAAGATGGCAAATTAAAATGTAAGTGGAGTATCAAGAACAAAGAAGCCTCTTTGCCTTACCTTTTCCACATCGCCCAGGCCCTCAGTGTCCAGAAGAACCAGGGTGTGGTTGGGCTTCGAGGGGTGGGGTACACACCATATCCAGATGCCCTTGGTTTCAGACCGCACAGTGGAGCCCAGACGGAAACCTGCAAAGGAAGAGGAGAAAGTGTACAGAGTAACAGCAGATGGTCCAGGCTGCCCATAGGTTACATTGGTTAAACTTGTCAGAATGTGAGTGCCAGGCTGGGAGAAAGGTTGCTTTCATTTCAGCAAGAGCAGTCTATCTGACCTTTATACATATTAAGGACCTTCTCAAGAAACACTGTGTCCTCAATTTACCTCATACTATCAGTAGTATTTCAAGCTATGTCACAGTACAGAATTAATGTAACCTCTACTGATTATATTTATATCAAAATATATATATATTAAAAATATATATATATATATATATATATATTTTTTAAATCCTCATCCAAGGTCATGTTTATTGATTTTAGAGAATGGGAGATAGATAGATAGGTAGATAAAATTTGACATGAGAGAGGGAAACATTGATTGTACATGCTGCCTCTTGTACACGCTCCAACCTGGGAATGAACCTGCAACCTACTCTGGGCCCTCACTCAGAATCAAACCTGTGACCTTTTGGTGTACAGGACAATGCTCCAACCAACTGAGGCCCCCAGCCATGGATTAACTTAATATTCTTTTCTGACACTGAAGAGCTCCCTTGTCCTTCAGGTTCTGGTGGAGTCCAACCAGTGGGAGGCATCAAAAGGAGACTAGAGGTCAGACATATATTCTCTTCACTTTCCCCCTAGTGAGCCATAGTGTCTTCGTGCCTCTGTACCTTTACTTTTAGTCACCCCCTTCCATGCCATAACTCTGGTCTTTGCCACATTCTGTTATCCACTTTTGCTTGCCTCATCTGCTATAGTAGTTATAGAGTCTACCTAGCCATTGCTATTGCCACTCTTTATATGCATCCTTGGTTCTTTGTGCCCTTGTAAATCATCCCCTGTTAAATGCTCTTCAGTACCCCCAAGTAGGTCATCTGAGTCCTGCCAGGAGCTGGATAATACATCAGCTTTTGTTGGAATATTTTCCTCCCCTTTATCCTCATATTTTCTTCAATTTTTTTATCCTCATATTTTCTTCAATTTTTCCCCCCTAAAAAATGATGAGTTCTTTGCTCACTGCTTCAAGTGGTGACAAAATGAAGGAAAAAAGAGAAAGGATCTATGAGATTTTCTAGATCCTCTTTCCAAAGGCAGAAATTAAACACACAGTGGGAGAGGGTGTGAGGTATATGTCCAGGAACCCACTGATGATATATCTTGTCCCACAGTCCAGGAATTTGACCGTCTGCCATCTTCCAATGTCTCCTTCAATGAAGAATGGAAATGAACGTGATAAAATACCTAGAAGAGGTTGAGTCAGCATGGCTGAAGCCATTCAGCTTCTACATCCAGAGTATATTCCACAGACAGGACATAAAGCCTGAGGTGGTCTGCATTCTCCTACATGTGATAGTGTTTGATTGCTTTCTGACTAGTCCATAGTAATCTGAAGTTCCCATTAACCCAGCAAGGAAAGGCAAGGTATAATTGGAGGTCATTGGTCTCAGCTTTAGGAGGTAAAACAAGTTGTCAACAAAGAGAAGAGTATATATATATATATATATATATATATATATATATATATATATATATGGAGAGAGAGAGAGAGAGAGAGAGAGAGAGAGAGAGAGAGAGAGAGAGAGTTCATCAAAGTTTTGCTATGAAATGGAGCAAACAAATGGAAGGTATCCCCATTGAAATATGGGATATACAGAATACACTGCTATTTGTTTACCTCCTATCCCTTTTTAAAAACAGCAACTATTGAACAATATTTGTATGCTAGAGTTTAGAGCAGAAGTAATGTAGGAGAAAAGAAGGGAATACTTTCTGGAGCTGAACTGACTAATGGATGGATCTTTGATAGGGCTAGGGAACTCTATATTACTGAACAAACACAAATGAGTGACCTTTTGTGAACAGATGGGGTTGAAGTTATAAATCTAGCAATGAAACTGAAAAGTTTTCTTCACCAGGAAGAATGAGGTCTTTTTTAAAGATGGTCACGAGAAAGGTTTGATCAGCCTCTGTTATCACTGTCTCCAAGCAAATGGCCCCCGCCCCGGAACAACACTCACCATGGTTCTTTCCTGCCAGGCGGTTCATCAGGTAGGATTTTCCTGTCCGATACAGGCCTGCAATGGCCACCACCACCACAGGCTGAGAGATCTTGTCTAGAATCTCCAGTGCTGTTGGGTTCACTGTCAGCTGATTATTCTGATTTTCCACCAGACAGATGGGGTCCATCAGAGTATATTCAGAGGCCATGGTGAGCTGGAACCCAGAGGAACAACTCAGTACAACACAAGATCCTGAAGTCATAGCTAATGGTTACAGAGGTCATTTGCATATCAGCTTTACACTCCTGGAGAGTATATATCAGTTTCCTACATTTTGTATGTTTCTAAAAGATAAGTATTTAGCCTAGTGTGTCAAGGCCTGCTACAGATTCCTTATGTACACCATTATATTGATCTATAAATGAACCTTAAAACAACCTTGCCTATGTGATGCATAAAAGGATTATAATGGGGAAATCAAATAAACCACTGATGATGAGAAGGTTAACATACTGGGGGCGAGTTGAGGCAGAATGGGACATGTAGGAGATGAGGAGTGACCAGAGAAGATACCTGGAGTTCCAGAGTGATTCGTTTTCATATTAACTGCATATGTTCTCTGAGCACCTAGCATGTGCTGGGCACTGGTCTATGTGCTCAGTATCAAGTGGTGAACAAAATGGATACCAATTCCTGCCTCCTGAAACTATCTTAGTGGGAAGAGACAGACAATACAGAAAGCAAATAAGCAGAATGTATTATATATGTATATTAGATGAGTTTCTATAGGGTTTCTATAGAGGGTGGTCAGGGAAGCTCTGCCTCTCAGAGAAGGAGAAATAAATTGTGATCTTTGACCTTGAGGAGGACAAGTTTAGTGAATCCCAGAGCAGGAGAGTGCTGGAAGAGGGGATACATTGGAAGGAAGATGAAGAGATGAAGAATGTGGCTCCCTCTCAAAGTAAATAGGACAACCTTAGCCAGTTTTGCTCAGTGGATAGAGCATCAGCCTGTGGACTGAAGGGTCCTGGGTTTGATTCCAGTCAAGGTCACATGCCCAGGTTAAGGGCTCAATCCTTAGTGGAGGTGTGAAGCACCTGATCAATATTCTCTCTCATCACTGATATTTTTATCTCTCCCTCTACCTTCTTCTCTGAAATCAATAAAAATATATTTAAAAAGCACACAATAAGACAGAGAAAGACAAGTGTCACATGATCTCACTCATACCTGGAATCTAAAGAACATAATAAACTGTTGAACAAAATAGATCCAGGAACATGTAAACATGGAACAGTTTATGGAATCTCAGAGGGAAGGAGGGGGTTGGCAGGTGGGAAGTGATTAACCAAATAACTTGTTTGCGTATGTGTATAACCAGTGGACACAGACAGTAATGTGGTGAAGGCCTGAGGGAGGGGGAGGTGCAGGCTAGAAGGGGTCAATGGGACCAACCTATTTAATACTTTCAACAATAAAGATTAAAAAGCACACAGTAGGCCAAAGCATTACTGAACCCAGATAAATTAATGGGGGCAGAAATTCATTTAATTGGAATCAAAGGACATTATTCCTTACTTTTAGGCTGACAAGGAAGAGAGGCAGTAGCCAGCATGTTTTAGGGTGTGCCCAGATCTGCCAGAGTTCCACAGCTGGGTAAGGCCCTACTTTACTGTTTTATCATAAGCAGGAGGAATTGCAGAGTTAATTTCTTGAACTGAAAGTTTAAAATTTTGGTCAGAATGCAAGTAAACTGGAAAACCCAACCCAAAAGCTGGTAAGTTCAAATAAAGAAGTAAAATGAAACAGTTCTCCTGTGTGGAATTCGATGGTTTCCAAAGTTTATTCCTCAGAAGAGTCAGTCACCTGAAGTGATGGTAAAAACTACCCTAAGCCTTGACTTCTCAGCAAGTATGACAGGATATTCTGAGACGGTTCTAGAATGGACCACACATGAAAAACAATGCTTGGTAAACAAGCACGATTAGATCTTATAGGTATTTCTAACAGTTGATCAGTGAGCATGAAATTGAATTATTCTACGTAACAGAGCTTTGTGCTATCTTTGGAATAAGCATTGCTGGTACAAAAAAGAATCTGTGTCAATCTCTTAAGATTTAAATAGTCTGTAAATTAAAGATCACCATTTCTCTCAGATTCTCTTGTATCTGGAGGTGGGGAGATGGGGGTAGGGAGGTGATATGGTGGTGGTCAGGGACAGTCTGAGGAGGGACAGAGGGGACAGGGTAAGAGACTCCACCGGGAGCCTCTGCAAGTGGATGGGGTTTACTTTTGGCATTTGAAGGAGGATGCGTTCCTCCTATCCCCATGGAGGGCTGTTTGTGTAGCCCTGGGAGGGTGCCAGAGGGGCAGCTCACCCTGGAGACAAGGTGGATGAGCGCTGGTCGCTTCACAGAGAGGCCTTTGATCCAAACAGAGTCTCTGAGCTCCTGGCAGCCAGGCCCAGTACTAGCCTCCCACTGTCTCCTGCCCTCCAGTGCCAAGCCTGGGCTTCCAGTGTGGGGTGTGCTTTTAGGCACCTATTGTTGCTGATAATGATATTAATGACCATGGGCCTTGAAGAGTAAGTCTAAGAGCGAACTTACTTGTCTCCGTGACTCTTGTGCAGCAGACAGGGGACAAGTTCTCAGCTGTCCTGGCTCTTTCCTCACGTGTTCCTCCTGCGTCTGGCTCCTCCAGATACTGACTGTCCTCTTTAAAAGCTGAAAGACGTGCCAGATATTACAGCCAAGCAGTTTTTGGTCGGGTTGATAAGAACCCAAATTGAAAGACCATGAGCTTCTTTGAGAACTGAATCATTGGGTCTTTCCTGGCGCTCCCTGCCCTCACCCTCTTCTTTTATTTATTTATTTATTTATTTTTTTAACTGAGGCAAGAGAGCAGTTGACCTGGGAGGAAAGTTGAGGTTCCTCCATACCTGTTCTCAGAATTCCAGGTTGGTCCCTCCTCAGGTGGCTTGTGTTTCCTGAACCCACAAGGAATACAGAGCAGCAGGCTGAATGTGAGCCAAGGGACAGCAGGGGTAGTTTTGTGAGGAAAGAGGCTTGTTTTTTGTGTGTTTTTTTTTTTAATCTCTTTTCCTTAAATTTTTTCAGTTGATCAATTATTTTTGTTCAGCATAATTTTGTCTCATTAGCAAGAAAACAACAATAAGCAAACAAATAAAAACCTGTGTATAAAATTCTTGATTTTATAACCCAAAGTCACTATTCTTCTGTTACATATTGTTGGTTTCTTGTTTATACAAGGGTGGATCCAGATTTGGTGGGGGAGGAAGTGAGGACAGTATAATTTGAGAGCCTGTTTCTAATAAAGCAATAGAAAAATACAAATGAAATTGTAAGTGTTCAGTCTGGCCAGCATGCTCAGACTCAAGCACCTAGAGGTCACTTGTTAGATTCCAAATCAGAGCATATTCTTGGATTGCCTGCTCGATCCCCAGTGCAGGAGACAGACAATCATGTTTTTCTCTCGTTGATGTTTCTATCTCTCGCTTCCTTCTTCTCTCTCTAAAAAAACAATAAAAACATATTTAAAAAACAACAAAAAAATAAGAAAATATATTGAAAATGACTAAAATGATATACTAATCCATATATATAAAGAGCCAGGGGCTTCACAACCGAAACAACTGGACAGATGATCAAACAGGCTGCATAAAGTGACCAGGCAGGCAGCGGGGTTAGTGAGGGATGACCAAACAACCGAACAGCAAGCTGTGTGAGGTGACCAGGGCAATGAGGGAGGGCAGTTAGGTTGACCAGGTTGGTGGGGGGAGAGGGGGAGGAGCAGTTGGGGACCACCAGGCTGGCAGTGGAGGGTTGGGGGATAGTGAGGGATGACCAAATGACCAAACAGCAGGCTGCTTGGGGCAACCAGGCCACAGGGAGGGCAGTGAGGGGCAATCAGGCCAGTGGGAGGTGGCAGTTAGGGGTGACCAGGATGGCAGGGAAGGGGCAGTTAGGGGTGACCAGGCCAGCCTTGTGGGGAGCAGTTAGGGATGACCAGGCCTGTGGGAAGGCCACTGGGGGTGACCAGGCTGGTAGGAGGGGAGCTGTTAGGGGTGACCAGGCCAAGGGGGGGGAGGGCAGTTAGTGGAGATCAGGCTGGTAGGCAGAAGCAGTTAGAGTTGATCAGGAAGGCAGGCAGGTGAGCAGTTAGGAGCCAGCAGTCCAGGATTGTGAGGGAGATATGTGACTGCCAGTTTAGGCCCAATCCCAGGGAATTGGTCATCCCCCGAGGGGTCCCAGATTGGAGAGGGTGCAGGCTGGGCTGAGGAGACCCTCACCCTCCATGCACAAATTTCATGCCCTGGCCCTCTAGTCCTATATGATAAAGATCTAACATGCAAATGGTCAATTTCAGCATTTCCCCCTTTTTATTTTCTTAATAAATTTAGAAAGGTGTGTGCCATTTGGAGAGCTGAAGTCCTTTAAGACTTTTAGATTCAAAGAAAAGGATTGAGTTCTTTCATGTCTGTTTAAAAAATTGTTGTCAGTCATTTAAGGAATTAGTTTGCAGTAGGCTCCTTAATGGGCCAATAGTACATTATGGGTTCCTTCTCAACTACTGTCCTTTGTGACATGAAAGCAATGATATTTGAGTTCTTGGTGTGGACAAATTGTGGGCAATGTCAATGCAGATCCAACCTTCTTTGACTTTGTCCAGGGCAACCTGCATCAACGCACAGCTGATGACTAGTAGAATGACAAGGCATCTTTATCAACCCTTATCTCTGGACTGTTTCTTCTCAGTCTCATCAGCATGTTGCTTGGGGTTACTGCTATTTGTGGTTGGTATAGTCTGGTCAGTTCTTCTCTCAGATCTGTTGCAGGAATCTACATGGGCTTGGAGGAGTTTTCTGGAAATACCAAACATATTCTCAGCCAAATGTTAAAAAGGGGATCTTTCCATAAACCAGACTATTTTCCTTTGGTTTATTCTGACACCAGTGTAATTCTATGGGTGTCTTGCCATTAGCATTACAAGTGAAAAATTAATTAAGGCTTGATGTAGTTTACTTTCAGGAGATTTCTTCACTATTCCCCCCTTTTTTGCTTTTCAAGTTGGAATTTTAGAGGCCCTTGAGGCAGACGTATAAGCTTTGTTTAGTGAGGCAAAATGCAAGTTACTTACTTTTCTTTTTGAGGCCTTATATATTGATTTTTAATTACTGTTTTCTAGATA